CTGAAAACTATTTAAATTTCTTCCAAAGTTCCCCCACCCCGTATTCTTACATGAGAGAACATATTGCTATGGGTAGAAGACTTCTTTTAAAATTCTACTAGTGTGAAGAGCACTGTCTTTTAGGGGTGACAGATACTAAAAGTATTATGAAGTGTAGCTCCTATGCTCAAAGTGTTTACAGTCTATAGGGGAATGGAGGATATAGAAACTAACTACAATAGCTGATGTGATAAGTGATGCCAGCAAGGAGTTCAAGGAGTTCCCAGGAGAAAAGAGATCACATTGGGCTGGCTTTTTTGAGGAATCTAAAATGCACCTGAAGATGATGAACTCTAAAGAGAGAGAGAGAACGAACCTGGCAGAGGTGGGAGGGGAGCACATTCACAGAGCATGGTTGAAACCTAAGCCCACAGACAGAAAAACCCAAAATCCCTCATAGAAAAATGTGAACAACTCCAGTTGGCTAGCTGTGGCTGTCCGTTGGGGTATGATGAGCCAGGAATTGCTGAGGCAAGAGCTACCATAAATTTCAACTAAGATGATAAGCAAAGAAAGATCCCCGAGAGAAAGAAATGACAAGAATTGATTATTGAATAAACAAAGTCAAAAGCAGGTAAAAGATAATGTACACTCTGAAATGTCCAGCCCCAGTTGTCAGAAGATCATAGGTATCTTTAAAACATGGAGAAACTTTGAAAGGAGGGTTTTTTTTTTTTTGTTTTGTTTTTGCTTTTTTGTAAAACTAAGTGAAGAATTCATTTTGTGGAAAAAAAGCAATCTAAGGTATACATGGGTCAGCTGATTGGAAATGTGTGATTGATCCTTTGAAATGGAGGTAAGTGGTTCTACAAAGAAGCACTGAAGAGATGGATATGAGATTCTCTTCCAAAGTACTAAGAGCTGCCACTGTAGATGAGATGACCGAGGGGAAGACTGGAGAACCAGAATAGACACATTCTGAGAACAAACTGTGGGGAGCTCAAAAAGAGGTACTTAGTAGTTGTGAGATAGCATCATGTTGAACACCGGGCTGTACCAGGGGTGGCAACTCCTTAAATTCCAGTGGGTTTCTGGATGCACCAATAGCCTCTCCCCTAGAAGATCACCCATCTCTATCTCCCAAATACTGCCCAACTTTCAGCTTTCTTCAAGAAATTCCCTCATGGTCCTCATCAGGAATTAGCCCTCCACCTCCAACCCTCAACTCTACACCATTTTTCAAGATCTGAGAACACATATCCTTGCATCCTGAGTATTTATGCAAACTACTCCCCTCCTTCTTCTCCAGCTATCCCCTGCCTCCCCATCATTCTACTAATTTTCTGACCAGGAAAAGGAATAGGAGAGAAAAAATAATTTTCCATTTATACCTTTTAAATTCTTTGTCTTATTGATGCTAGTCTTAGACAACCCCAAAGAGAAAATATAACAGTGTTTGGAAAAAGAAAGAGGAAGAAAAATTGAAAAAGACAGCTGCAAGTATCCTATGCTGCATGTACTCTTCTGGTAGGAATTTTCATTTCTTAAACACCCAATAATTCAGGCACAATTCAGAATATACAACAAAATAGATCCTTTATATAAATTATTTTATCCTTGGGTGATAGAATCTATTTCCATTAATGATTGCTTCATGAAACTCTGTCTTCCAAGTTTTCCTCCACCTGGAAGATTTAACTTTAAATTATACCTACCTATTCACTGGAAAAATCAAGTCTATCCTTAATCATTGATTAATTTGGCAACCAAGTATAATTCAATTTATAGTATGTCACCAACCCTAAACTCTAGGGCAATTGTTTTCCTTTTTAAGTTTTTGTCATTTAAAGTATATCTGGGATTTTTTTTCTTTCTTATTTGAAAACCATCAAAGAATTAGGAGCCATATACTGGGTCAGACCTGTGTGTCTGAGTTTAAAGTTAAAAGTTCTAAGTTACAAGAATGCTTTTTCCTCTTCAATTTAAATTTTTTTAAAAAAAAAAAAAAAGCTGTGGGACACTAACTAGCATAATTTAAAATTTTATTTGATGTTCTAAACAGGTCAACCTCATCATCTTCAAGTGATGAACCTGAAAAGGAAGGAGCAGTCTGGGCTCCCAGAGGTGCTGTGGGAACCTCAGGAATTGCAGCTGGGGGCAGAAATCACAAGGAGGCAGCTTGAACCCATTAGGAGCACTTCCTAACAATGAGAGCTGCCCAGCCTCAGGGGATGCTTCTTTGCCCACAGGATGCTTGCAGCAATTTAGGAAGCTCACCCCAGGGCTGGCTGACAACCTGGGAAAGTGGGGAAGTGGAAGGTTTGGCCTGCAAGACTTCTCAAGACAGCTCTGACCTCAAGATTTGCTTAACTAAGAGAAAGGACAGATGTTTATGAATATGTCCTCCCGGCTTTATAAAGGAAACAAGAGCCCAGAGCAAGGCACACTGACCTCAGTTTGCCCAGTTATGAAATGAAGGGTGACCCAGACAGTAAGATACCTTCAAATTCTAACAATCTGTGAACATAATTCATTTCTTTGTGTCTGCTCCATTTTTGAAAAAAAAAAAAATAGACAGGCACATGACTCTGAAAGGCTCTTCCCAGCAGGGTTGAACTAGAAGCATAAGCCTGAGCCAAGAATAGAGAAAAGAGTCCACATGGAACCACTGAGACCCAAACGGCTCCTGCCCCTCAGATCCAGGGTTCCATTCAGGGTCCCCTCTCCATACTTATCATCATTTGTCCCTCAGAACCTAGGAAGACAACATAGACGCAACACAGTTGAGGCAAGGTTACCTAGGAAACACTAATAAATTCATAATGAATCACCTAAAAGTGTCCCAAATATAGCATGCCACAGTCAGTGGGGAAATTGTTCAGAAATGCATATGAGCATAAGTATTTAAAAGTATGAATTACACACTTGCAAAGAGTTCCCTATTATAGTCATGTTTCTGATTTTGAGTTGTCTACTGTGCTATGATGTAATGCCTAAATACAGTGTATTCCTAAAATGAATCCTATGTGACACAGTGTTTGCAAAAGACCAACTTTCCAAGAAGTAAAAATGAGCCCATTCTGATATCAAATTGGCATTATCACAAGCTGAACCAGCAAAGCTTTGCTCCTAGGATATAATCTAAGAACTTCCAGCTCTCTGAAGAACTTCTTGTTTTACATAAACCCTGTCATTAAAGCATCATCCACTAAAGAATTGAAACTGCTTTTCTTTGCATTAAATCTAATAATAAGTATAGGTATAATAGTAGGTGGTGCTGAAACAGTAATTCAGATACATGTGAGGTTTTTCTGTAGCTCATTGGTGAAGTACAAATTTTATTTATAAGAGGTGGCAGATAATTATAAATCAATTCTATTTTAAAAGAACAGAAAACAATTCTGAATACAGTAAATATCATTTTTACTATGAAGCCTTTAAAATTGGAAGTTATTTTCTCTGGCACATAACAACTCTTGTCCCCTCAGGTCCTCAGGGGATCCCTGTCTACTCTTCTTTGAAGTAGTGGTCAGAAGTGCCCTAAGCATACCTAGAATTACTCTACCCACGCCTGTCAGCTTTTCTTCAGCAAAAGCTGCTATCATGGATCAGTTTGCTTCAAGATTATCTATTTTTTTAAGAAATCAAAAATCTAAACTCCTTCCTTAGAAAGATGCATACCATGAGATTTTTTTTTCTTTCATGCTTTCTCTAAAATAGAAGCATATTATTGGAAATTTTGTCACTAAAACTGACGACAAACAGTTCCTCCTGTATTTCAAAGTCTTTAGACTGTTAATACACATGTACATATAAAAAATGGATCCTACATTTGCAAATAGTTATTTATCATATTCATGTTTCATATTTTGAGGCAGCTACTGTACAATGTTGTAATACCTAATTACAGTGACATTCCTAAAATGAATCCAAGTGAAAGCAAGTCTGAACCACAGCCTCTTCAGGAAACCAAGAAAACATAGGAAACAACCTTCGAAACCACTTACCTAAATATGAAGATAAATTAAACAGTATTATGAACAGGAATAACTGGGTGGATTAAAAATTAGAACTGTAAAGGTACAAATGTTCCACATATCATCTCTGTGAACCCAAAAAAGGAAGGAGAATGAAGAAGTGTGAAGGACTAAGATTGAAAAAAATAATCTCTGTCTCTTGCATACTACTCCCACTTGATTTGATTTCTATAATCCCATCAAAACAGCTCTCCACTTGGAAACCTCTAAGACTTTCCTGGCCCTCTGGGCAGGTCTTGACAACCAACATCTGTGATGTCACGACTTCAGACCGGATAACAATGACTTTGAGGTTGGTGAGGCTGAGGTGAGGTCTGGTCATCAAAGGTTCAGCCAAAGGGTCACCCTCATGACCTCTACTGACAGTGGCTGCTGTGTCTGGCTCAGAGGGCTAGCAGTGCAAACATAAGATACACTCTATAATCTCAGTCCCAGGAAAGAACCTTGAAGTGGCCTCATATCAGCTACAAGTGTTCCCAACCACAGAACCTGAAGTTGTTCAACCCTCCTTCCTATTTTTAACCTCATTTAGTTAACTTTCAGAAACATAGTTAAATGTTTCACCAATTCCAAGGCACTATAGGTAATCACAGGTGACTAATTCTTTCAGCAAATATTGAAAACTCAGTAGGTTTCATTATAACACTCTGCAGGGACAACTTTCTTGGATCTTTCTTTGACCTCTTACCTAAGAATCCGTGAAGCAAAGGGCTTCTGGAACCTGTCTCTGGGTAAGTCATTTTCTAGATGGTAAGAGGTGCAAAATCTTTTCCTGGCAAGTTAACTCACCGTAACTGAAAAAAAGATAGTGACAAATAGGCTATTTTCCTTAAGTGGATGGTAGAGTAAGGAAACTGATCAAAATTATTAGTCACACAAAGAAAATGACACATAGGGACCCAGGAGGTCAATTTACCTTTAGGGCCTGGACTGGCCTGCAGGAGCTGGGCACAGGTGCCCAACCCCTCCCCCCGCCCCACTTACGGGTGGCTGGCCGGCTCTGCTCGGGTGGCATGCTGTCTGCTGACTGGGTGCTGGAAACTGAGGACACGCTGGAGCTCCGGACAAAGCCAAAGGCCGCCAGCTTGGCCGCTGGGAGACGCGAGTATCCAGGAGGTCGAAGTCCGGATTTCGGTAGACTGGATTTTGCAGCATTTGAACTGGAAGCTTTCTTTAAATCTGCTTAAAAGAACCAAAGCAAAAAAAAAAACACAAAAAACTGAGAATATATATATATATGTGTGTATGTGTATATATATGTAGCTAAAATTAATCTTGAAATTCAATTCTATGCATTTGCAACAAACAAATCTTTAAGAGAAAGCTCTCTTACGTGAGCCAGGTGCTTCAGAGAAACTCAGGAAGAGGAGAAGTAGCTCCTGCCTCCAAATGATCACAGTCCAGTTAGGCAGATGGGTTGACCGTACTATAAGGCCATAGGTATAAAGTGCTTCAGATGTTGAATAGAAAGAGAATATTGACTGTTAAAGCTACCTGTAGGTCTCTGAAATTCAGATACACCTTAATATTTGACATATGATAGGCAAAGAACTCTTGCAGAAAATACTCATTGGTGATTTTAACTATTATGTGATACGTCTTACAGAAACATGTTCACAGAATCATCCTACTAACCTTCTGCAGGTTGTAGGGATGGGGGAGGGGCTAGCCAGACTGAAATCTGACCTCTCTCAGTTACTAGCTATGTAACCCTGAGCCCTAGCCCTGACACTGAGAACCAGCTTCCTCTATAAAGAATGATGATAAAGCTGGCCTCCAAGGTTTAGCATTACTCTTTGTAACACAGAACTTGATAGGTGCTCAGATGAATGTCAGTTTTTCTCCTTTTTCTGTTTTTATTTTAGTCCAAACTTCAAAATTAGCTCCTAGATATGTGCAAAACCAGTCTGTTTTAGGATGATAAAATATGCTGTCAATCCAAAATCTCAGAAACACCATGCTCTAAGTCTGACCTGGGCTCCATCAGCAGCTGCCAGGATGATCACCACAACCCTACGAGAAGGCTCTCAGCACAGAGAAACCCCAAACCAAAAAATACTAGGATATGAAATTTAAAAGGCCCAAGTTTCCTAATATTTTGTGTGATTGACCTTTAGGAGGTATTAAGCAACTTTGACCTGCAAACATATTTACCCTGAGGGCACACAAAACAATCCATAGCATTCTTATTCTGCCTTTAGTCTATTCTTTATTATAAAAGATTAATGGCATTTCACACTAAGCTTAATTTAAATAATGGTCGATTCATAAAACCCCAAAAGGCCATGTCTAAAAAGATCAATGAAGAAACTACATATTAGAAAGCATCTAAATGTAGAAATAGAGAACCAGTAGATGTCATGCTAGGTCTATGGTGGCCCCCCAAAAGGCCTCTTTTTCTACCAGCAAGTCCTCCTAGAAGTGAGGCCATAGCCATCTGTGTGTCCAGATGAAGGTGGGATCCACACAGCTGTGGTCTCCTGACTCCTGGGTCAGGACTGGGAAGAGAAGGAATCAGGTCAGCACCGAAGAGAAAGAGAACAAGGAGCTGGGGTTGCAGGTATCCCCAGTTCAGTTCTATTCTAATGCTCCACTAATTAAAAAAGAAAAGAAAGAAATACTGCACCATTTAACAAGTAGTAATGGCCCTTTTGTATCAGCTATCAATGCCATATTCAATGCCTTCATATATTTTAGGGAAAAAAAGTCAGTATTCCTAACCAAGACCTTGGCATGTGGAAAGCATTCATTTAATATTTTTTTAAAAATAAGTTTGTTACATCATTATATAAGACAATAAAGTCTCTGAGTGTGTAAAACAAAAATGTGTCTTATTCTACCCTTACCTACATCCAGTTGTTCATTCCATTGGTGGAAAGGTAGCTTTGGGATACACAGAGAGAAGGGAAGGGTGGACAACACAGGATTCTGTGTATAGGAAGCAGTCTCCAAATTATTTTCTAGATTTTTTCCTCCCTATTCCTTTTGGTAAAGGTAAACAGTTGGCTTTTCATATCCATGAGTTCCATATAGACAGATTCAAATGAGCAGATTAAAACTATTTGGAAAAACACTGCATCTTCTCTGAGCATGTAGAAACTTTTTTCTTGTTGCTGTTCTCAAAATAATACAGAATATCAACTACTTACCTAGCATTTACTTTATATTAAGTATTATATGCAGTCTAGAGACAGCTTGGAGTACTGGATTTGCATTGGTTACACGCAAATACTCTTACCATTTTATATAAGAAACTTGAACATCCATGGCTTGGGGAGGAATGGGGATGGGCAGTATATTCAATCTGCTATGGATACTGAGCAATGATTGTATTGCTCTGTGTCGTGTGTGTGTGTGTGTGTGTGTGTGTGTGTGCCTGTGTTCGTGTGCTCATGTTTAGGCTACTTGTAGGAGTATTCCTTGCCCCAAATCTGTGTGTACAACTTTTGTAAATTTAATATGACTTATACTATACATCAAGTTACTATATAAGTGTCTTTCCTTCTACCAGATTAATATCATGAATAGTACAGATGCTTACAGGATTGGAGAAGCAAATCTTATTCTTTTTATATTACCAGCACCTAGCACAGTGATTATACAATTTCTTATTATAAATGCATTGAAATCTATCACCAAGGTTGTACTATATTAATTTAACCCAAAGTATGAGTCAAATATCTCCACAAATTTCTCTGCATAAAAGAGTAGCCTGGAGAGGACTAAAAAAAAAATTCTGCCTTTCAAACAAATGATTAAATATTTTGATTCAGGTGGCTGTTGGAACATACTTTAAAAACTTCAACAGAAAATGTCAACTCACTTGTGAAATAATTGCATTTGACAACTCTGATCAAATTGCATTAACTTAATCTTAGCTTCTTATAAAAATAACTATTTGCATATATACACACAAAAAAAGACCTATATTCCTGGCTATTTTTCAAACAAGTCCAGCATTTTAGACTGAATTTAGTATTTACAAACTAACCCCAATGTGATGGTGTTTGAAGTCAGGTCCTTGGAGTGGTAGATAGGTTGTAAGAGTAGAACTCTCAATAATAAGATTTGTGCACATATAGAAAGGTGTCTGAAGTCTAACTCACTCTCTTTCCACCATATGGGTAAACAATAAGAAGATCATAGTAACCCTGATCTCAGATTTCCAGTCCCCAGAACAGTGAGAAATACATTTCTGTTGTTTATATGCCAACCAATATAGACAGTAACCTCAATAAAGACATCTAGCATGTCAGAGAAATATATTTTCCAAGTATTTAGTATCCTTGCTCTAATCTAGGACATATATTTTGACAGAAATAATAGTGTATCAAGTGCATAGGAAGCTCTCAATAAATAAATTATATAATAAATTAGTATCACAATAAAGCTAAGGTAATACATAAGAAAGATACTTCATAGAATGATAGCATGAGGATCTCTATGCCACTCTCTCCAGTGAAATAATCATAACTGGTGAAAACTATTTTTAAAAGTTTTAAAGTCTTTGGGAAATATTCTAAGAGTATATCACACATAAGAAAATTAACAAAAACTCAATGAAAACAGTGAGAGTTGCACTTGAACCATGACCCACTCCCTTGTTCCCCATCACCAACCTCCCACCACAGAATGATGGAAGCTCTACTCTGGTACATGTGGCCAGAAAGATAGGGTTTTTTTTCTCTCTGGAGTTAAGGGGTACTGTATCTTCCTAGGATCATTGGGTTAACACCACTTCTCATCCGCATCCCACCCCATCTTTAGTTCCATGTTGCAGAGGCTAAATTCTATGCAAATGTTGTCAACAGGTCAGGGGGACCCTTTCTTCACCCAGCCACAACTTATAGTGTAGAGGACCACGCAGGTAGAACAGGCCCAAAATACGGGGGCCTAAATCACACTGCCTTGTTCACTTATAGGCTAGAAATTCACCCCCAGGAAAGATAAAGAGAGAAAACTAGAGAGCACTATCCCTATCTAGCATCTTACTGGTAATGTAAGAGTTTTTGTCTGCTCTTACAACCCCTAGCACCAAAGTCATAAGTAAGAGATTTTGCCCAAGGACACAGGCACACCAGAAGATCAGGGATCTCTGAAATGCTCTTCAAAAGAACGGAGTTTATTTGAAATAATATTTGTATGAAGTTCCAACCTAGGGGAATTCTTAGAAGCAATGGAGATTTTGATGGTAAGCAACTAGGAGGAGGCTGATAGCTCCATCAAAGCAAGATGATAAACTGTAGAAAAGCTAGTTTACCAGAGATAACTAGTGAAAAAGCTAAGAGAGACATCACTACTGATCCAACAGAAATAAAAAGGATTATAACAGAAGACTATAAACAACAATATCTCAATAAATTAGATAATCTAGTGAAATGGACAAATTTTAGAAAGACTATGAGAATTGACTCCAATCTGAATATATGTTTACTAAAAAGATTGAATTAGTAATTTAAAAACTTTCTGCAAGATCCAGATGTTTTCTTTAGTGAATTCTATCAATCATTTACATAAAAATTAACAGCAAAAAACTAACACATTAAAACCAGAAGCATATATAAAGAATTGTATAACAAGACCAAGCAATATTTCTCCTAGAAATATAAATTGCTTTAATATATATAAATCAATATACTATACCATATTAATAAAGAAAAACAAAACCCATGATCATCTCAATGTGTAGAAAAAAATACTTTACAAATTTCAATATCAGTGCATGATTTAAAAAACAAAACCTATTAGTGGTTAGTGAACTAGGAATAGAAGACAGTGCCTTTGGTCTGATAAAGGCAGGTAAGTTTATACTTAATGGTGAAAGACTGAAAGCTTCCCCTCAACATCAGGAACAAGGGTATCTTCTCTCACCCTTTCTATTCACATTGCAGGGAAGGTCCTGGCCAGAGGAATTAAGCAAGAAAAGAAAAGATGTGTGTATTGGAAATCAGAAGCAAAACTTTCTCTTTGCAATTGATGTGGTCTTGTATAGAGAAAATCCTAGGAAATTTCATTTAACAAACTATTTAATTAATGAATAAACTAGCTCAGCAAAGTCACAGAATAAAAATATTCACATGCAAAAATTAAGTGGACTTCTATACTCTCACAATAAATAATCCAAAAATGAAATTTGGAAAGCAATTTTATTTATCATGGGCCAAAAGAGAAGAAAATGATTA